ACCTACAGCAACCCCCACCCCCAGGTCCTCGTGTCGTCTCTGGATTCACAAAGGCTTCACCGATCCATCGATCCATCGTGACTCTAACAGGAACCCCTCCCCCAGCCCTGCTTGCTCCTTCCGAGTTTACTCACCTGCGCCCTGGATTCCCGCTGGCTGTTGGAAAAAAGGATTCATGCTGTGGGGGTGATGAACCCGCCGTGGCTTGATAGTTCTCTATGAGACAGTCCCTGGTGTCTTACTGTTTCTGTTAAGTTATAACCATTTTAAACTTATATCTCCCATGCGGCCATCAGTTTGTCATACTAGGTGGGTGGCTTGTGCAGTGCTGCGATGCTGAAAGCTATGTGCAGTATTTCAACAGTTGTACCTATGTGCAGTATTTCAACAGTTGTACCGCACGCACATGCACACGTGCACACTGAATATACACTCACTGGCAGTGAGTAGATTTCAGTGCACAGTGACCGTGGAGGCCAGAGTAGAACTGCTCCTATCTGTTTCTGAGACTGTGAATCTTTACAGGAGCAGCAAAGTCTCCTTTGTCTTCCTCAGAGAGGCTGGCGGGTTTGCGGTCAGTAGCCCAACCCATCACCCTCTGGGGCACCAGGGCTCCATAGCAGTTGTGTGGCAGCTTAAGCATCAGCAGTCACCCCTGGGGGACATGTTTCAGCGGAGCTTTCACACTGAGGCAGACTAGAGGGAAGCCTAGTAATCTTCTGCCCAGGAGAGCCAGTGAAAACGTGTGGCGTTGTAAGAGAGCAGTATCTGACTCTCTTGCTTCGGATGCATGGTCCAGGGAAAGAATGTTCTGTAGAGTGGAGAAGGGAGCCAGAAAGGTGAGGAAGACCCTCGGTGAGATGGCTTCACACAGTAGATGCACATGCCAGTTATTGTGAGGACGACATGCAATGGACGGCATTTCCTTCTGTGGTCTGTGAGGTCACCTTGAGTCAGAGTTGACGTGACAGCAGCTGCCTATCTCCATGAGCTACAGCCATGAGGAAGGGTTGACTGGCAGGGCATCTGGAAATCTCTAGGCATGAGGGATTCTCTACTATCTTGACTTCAGGAACATTTGCCAAAGCAAGCAGCCGATGTCTTCCCCAGGGATGTTGGAGATGTTGGGGCAGAGAATCATGGATGACACTCTTCTTGGGGAGCTGCTCTCTGGCCCAGTCCTTAACCCTTGCCCTTCTCATTTATTTAAACCAGGGCAGCTATGCATGTGACAGACAGGTGAAATTCTGCTCCACGTGTTGTATGAGTTCAGCACTCTGAGCCTTCCCTGGGTGGTAGTCCAGCAGTTTTAACACTCAGCGGTGAACCAAAAGATTTGGCCTTGAGTTCACCCGGAGGTGCCTCAGAAGAAAGGACTGGTGGTCAACTTAAGAAAGAAAGGGAAAAAAAAGCCTCTGGAGCAGGAGCAGAATTCTCCTCTGCCACACACATGGGGTCAGCCTGAGACAGAATGCACTTTGCAGCCACCAATGACAACCAAATCACTCCTCGTGGGGTGATTCCTGTGTGGAGATCAGTGGGCATTGTTCTTGTGAAAAGCTGCTCGCAGTGCTGAGAGGGCCTAGAGGCTCGTTCCCCAAGAGAATTCATCACTTGAATTGATTCCTGAAAAGCATCTAGAGGAGAAGGAGTTCCTAAGCGACCATGTGCTGGGCAGCATAATAGCAAGCCATTCATAGGCAGGACGGATGCTAATAGTCCCCAAACGTACAGTTTTCTCAGCGAGTGGCTTCCACTGACATGGGTTTCTCCTCCTTGTGGCTTTGCTAAGGGGCCCTGGTGGTGCAGTGGTTAAGCACCCAGATGCTAACTGAAAGGGGGTTGGAACTCACCTGCAGCTCCTTGGGAGAAAGATGTGACAGTCGGCTTCCTTATAGTTTTGGAAACCCAATGGGGCAGTCTCAGTGGGTCCCATAGGTCACTGGAGGGTGTGAATTAACGGTGCCTTTGATGGGCTCTTTGGCACATGGCACCAGGCTGTGGATCAGATGCAGCTGTGCTCCACATTGTCTCCTGATTCACCGCCCATTCTTCTCAAGACAGGTAGGAGATGCACAAGAGGGGCCAGCAGAATGCACAGTGCCTCGTAAGGCCTGGATCAGAACCGGCACAGTGTCCTTTCTGTCTCAACTCTTTTGGCCAAAGCAAATCATAGGTCCAGGCCCAACCTCAGTGAACAGGGATGTACACTTCACCCCCTGAGACCACAGTGAGGGCAGGCCCAGGAGGAAGGCTCATGAACACCCTGCCACAGAGCAGCCTGTGCAAGACACAAAGGTACAAAGGGGCCTGGCATGTGTACAAGGGCGGTGTTTAGGGACAGAGAAATGTGGGAGGGCATGGTAGGGGGCGGACTTGCAGAAAGGGGCTCAGACTGGCTTGTGCTAAGGGGCTTGGCGTTAACTCTGTGGGTGATAGGATGACATTCAGCCATGTGGACTCAGTTGGCCTGCAGCTCCCTTGGTCCCAGCTGCTCTTCCTGGCCCTGGGGCACACAGGAGCCTGTGATAAGTGAATGGAAAAACTGCCATCTGCTGCCAGGGACAGAGCAGAAGACGAGGTTAGGGACAGGCTCGATGCTCGTTGCCAGTGTCACCCTGGGTTTGTATGTGTCAACACCTACACTCAGTCCTGAGTGGCCAGGCTTGCAAAATACAATCAAGTGCCACTCTGAAAGCATTTGGGTGGCTAAAGGGCAAACGTCTTCAAAACAGGACTCATGCCATAAAAGTTAGCCAGTGGTCCGGTGGAAGCACCGGAGGGAAGAACCTGAAATACTGAAAATCCACTGCCTCTAATTAATGACTACTATTCCGCTTACCCCAAAGCTCATTTTCCATAACCATTATACAATTGATTTCCATATTTCACAGTTTGCAAAACTCAAAGGGTGTAATTAATGCAGAGTGTCCAAGCCATTCTATGCATATAAGCTACTGTATCCCCTGGATAAAAAAGCCCCTGAGTGGTGCAAATGATAAAGTGCTCGACTACTCTTCAGTAGGTTGGTGGTTCAAATCACCCTGGCAGTGTCTCTGCAGAGAGGTGGGGCAAATTGCTGCCAAACAAACGGGCTTGAAGACCCTGTGCACACCGATGTTTACTGCAGCCACTTCCACAACTGCAAGAACACGGGAACAACCCAAAAAAAACAATACCTGTCTCAAGTACCACAGCACGGACAGCACTGGAGAACATTATGCTTAGTAACCTCAGTCAATCTTCCAGAGATAAACAGTTAGCATTACCATTGTTCGGAGGAAAACAAAGAAGAAACGTGGCTTATTCACCAAGAGACACGACTTTAAAGATGACAAAGAGATCAGGGGTGGGGTTTGGGACAGAGACCAAATAAATAAATAAATAAATGAAAGGAGAGTTTAACATGAAAAAAAATAAAGAAATAAAATAAAAATTGCTTCATGGGAAAAGAAACAAACCAAAACAAAACACAAACTTCCAGATTCCTACCCATCAGATGTAAATATTGCTCTGCGTGGCTATAAAAGGGGGACAGTAAAACTGAAGTGTACTTAGAGTCCTCAGTGACATACAAGTTCATTCCAAACATTAAAAAAAGGAGGGAACCTTATAAGCGAAGGGACATGCTGCATCGTGTGGGTCGCCATGAGTTGGAATCGCCTTGACACCTATTGAAAGAGGCGGTGATTTGGTTTATCCACAGGAAGCTGAAACAAAGAGAATAGCTACGCAGCCAGCGAGCCATGCACTGCCTTGGCTGGGTGGAGACTGGTGCTCCTGGGGCGTGGGGGGAGCAGGAGAAAGCATAGTGTCCCTCAATGTCCCCTTGGGAACCAGATGAAACTTAACATTTATTCTTCTGGGGTAAGAAGCAAGGGAATGAGGGTGACCTTTAGCTACTCTGGCGGAGTCCTTGGGTTAACATGTTCAGCTGCTAACGAAAAAGTTGAAAGTTCAAGTCCACCCAGAGGTACCTCCGAAGAAAAGCCTAGCAAGCTATTTCCAAGGACCCTGTGGAACACGGTCCTGCTCTGGCATGCACGGTGTCCATGCCGTATAAAACAGTTGACCCAATGGCACCTGGCGATGGGTAGGCTCCAGTGACAGTGAGCCCAGAGGATGGAAAATGGAGAGCGATCACTAAGAAGGAGTGACCGAAAATAAAACAGTGCCTGAGAATGTAAAACACACAAAAAGAGTCAGCTTCTGTTCCAACTAAAATAGTCTGTGGAAAACAAGGCACCCGCGGGAAGATTTGTCTATCCACCCATGTTTCAGGTCTGACCCAGTCCAAGCCCTGCAGGCAGGGGCAGTGGACACAGCTGGGAGACGGTTTGATTTTGCATCTCCTGGCGAGAGGGGAAACCAAACAGCTTTCTTCTGAGGCCAGATGGGGGCTGGGAGCCAGCTTTATAAATGGAAACCAAGAAAAGTCAGCTGACCTTTCTGGCCAGGCCTGTGCACCAAGCACGAGATCTGACAGATTGCAGGATGCAGTGGGCTCAGGGGCTTGACCCATAAAGAGGTGGGTTGGGGGATCAATCTGTTGGCTGAGAACCTGAAGATCTTCCCTCCTGCCCCAGTTAAATATGTAAGACCAGGGCTGCTGGGATGATCCGAAGACAGTAGAGACATGGATTTCCAAAAGGCAAATGGCCAATTTTCATCTCTATCATCAGCAAAGTATGCTTCCTAGTAAGTCTCTTTCTGTTTCATAGCGTGTGGAGTATACAAAATAGACATACTAAATTGGCTTGCTTTTTTATAAGCCCCAAAGGGATAGCGATTTAGCTGACAGATCTCCAGAGTGACTACTTGGGAGGAGAAACTAACTTACGTGTCCACATTTGATCCCATGCGTGTGTGCGGGAAGAAAGGAGAGGGGGGCAGGGCTACAAATGTTTCCATTTAGTTCAGGCACAGTCTGTGCCGCTCCACATTCTCTTGCAATGAGCTATCAAACGATTGATTCGCGCTGTGTGTTGGCCTGGGTCAACCAGCCACACGTGGGCATTGGCTCACGGGTGACCGAGTCTGAAGAGGCACTGGTTCTGGAGAAGGATGGCAAGTCTGAGCCTGCGACAGAGAGAGGGAACCGGGCAGCTGTTTCCCTTGCCGAGGATACAGTGTCTCTAGGTAAATTATTGTACACGGTATGTTAGTAGTGTGCTTCTTTTTAAAATACGTCTTACTCTGCATTGGGTGAAGGCTTACAGAGCAACTCGGTTTTTCAGTCGGTAATTCATACATCATTTATTGCCTTTCCTATCATTATCCCACTTCTTCCCTGGGCTTCCAGTTCCCCTTGTGTCTTCTGTGTGCCTAACCCATGTGCCTTCTGACCTTTGGTCTGTAGATGGTTGATGATTCTAAGGAATGAGGAGCTCCCAGCAAGATTGTTTCCCGTACAGTCACGCCTATTTGGCTGAAAAATGAGACACGGAAGTGAGTTCAGTGGAAATGTTTCTCTCCACCCCACCCTACGCTTCCCACCACCATCTCCGCAACCCCTACCCGAGACCCACACCCCCAATGCCTCCACCTTAACTTGAATTCCCAATAAATTTCGCTTATGGCTCTTGCAGGAGTATCTGCTGATTTGGGCTGACCCTAGAACACGGGTATATGACAGCGACTGCTTGGTCTTCTGCCTTGTCCCTCCTCTGGAAACCTGACCCCAGCTGTTGCCAGGCGTCCGCAAGACAGTCATTGTAACGATCGTTGTTGGCTGCCCGAGTGTGAGTTCAGACTCGGAGCAACCGTGTGTGGAACAGAAGGGAACCCTGCTGGGCCCGCCAGCCCCATCCGCACGGTTTTTGGGTTTGAGCCCATGGCTGCAGCCGCTGTGTCCATTCCACTTTGGGGACGGTCTTCCTCTTCCGCCCTGCTCTTCTCCTGGACAAAGCGCGATGCAGACTGATGTCTCTTGAAAAGGCCAAAGGGTGAGACGAGGCCTCACCGCCTGGCTTCTAAGGAACATTCCTGTGGTGCTTCTTTCAGCAACAGACTCATTCGTGCTCCTGCCCTCCACAGGGCTGCCCGCCCCCTGCCAGGACCACCATCCCGTTCTTAGCTAGTGGCGAGTCCTGAACTAGGTCCACCAAACGATGGCTTCCTTTTAAGAAGACTCTAAGGATATTTTAAAAAATTAAATGTTAAGGTTTCAAGGTTTTTCAGACAAAGAATGCATGTAATATTATATTTAATCCAATTCGTGGATCTGCCTTGTGGGCTCTAACTCAGTGTCAGGAAATCGGGCAAGATGCATTTCTCAGAAGAATCCTCCACCTGCCAGAGAAAAATTAAAATTCCCCTTTGATTCAACAGGAGAAGCTTCCTAAGGGAAATATTAAGATATCCTATGGAGAAACAGATGAAAACAAATGGTATTAGAGGAAGACGTGAGATCAAGGCGGCACAGGATCAAGTGCCGAGAAAGGAGGAGAAAGCGTCGTTCTTAGGACCCAACCCGTGCATCCACTGATACTCACGATGTGGTGAGTGTGCATGGCGATACATTTTTATAGAAATAAACAATGTCAAAGACACCATAGCACACTGAAGCTACACAATCATAAATACTGTCAATTAAGGGAAAACAGAAATCCCTGTGATGACAAGAGCACATCTCTGATTAGATTATAAAATCCTATAAAATAGGCAAGGACAAATAGAACATTAACATGAAATTAGAATCTTCCTGCATTGCTGGTGGGACCTGAAATACCGTCCCACCCAGCAATCCCTCTACATGGTCTGCGGTCTAGAGAAATAAGAGTCCTGACATGATGGATACCTGCGCTCATGTTCACCACAGCACTACTCACAAGAACAAAAAGATGGAAATGGCCCAACTGCCCCTCAGTGGAAGAATGGAAAAGTGAACTTGGACTGCTAGGCCATGTTGAAAAAATAATGAATCTTTGAACCTGAATCAGAATGGCCCTGGAGGAAATAATGCTGGGTGTAATTGGGCAATCAGAAATGCTGTAGGAGATCACTGTTATCCTGAGTCAAGAACCAGTTCACCACACTGAAAGACACATTCTATGATGGCTACTAAGGGTGGGAAGGAAAAGGAGGGAGAAGAACTCGTGAGCTAGAGGGCAGGTGACTATTAACTTGAGAAGGGAAGGTCATACCAAGTAAGAGGGAGGTTTGCCAAACCAAAAAAAAAAAAAAGATGAAGTCAGGGAAAGACATTGGGAGGTTTTCAAGAATGAAAGGCAACAGAGGCAGATCCCATTATATGCACAACCCTGCAATTGATGAGCTCTCTGAGTCAATGCTTGGATAGGAGTACACGCTGGACAAGTGCGGGAGGGATAGCAGGGATATACTCAGGAATATATATAGAGAGGTCTGACAGAGGATATTTGTAAATGACTACCTTTGCTGCAAATAGATCCTTAACGTGGTGGCGCATGCAGGAGGCAAAGTCATTAAAACCTCTTAGACATATTGGGTTCAGCGCTCAAGCCCATGGTCTCAGGGGACACTGAGGCCTGTCAGCATAACATCCTTCACAAAGACAACAGTTTCCTTCCTGGTTTAGTGAATGTGTAGCTTCTGGGATCTTCAAGTTCATTAGCAGCCACCTCAGGTGCAGCTATGGCTGTCACCCCATCTAGAGAAAAGATAAGTGATGAAAATGGAAAGGCACCTGGAAACCAATGGATGCAAACATCATCATGCAAACATCAGTCTGCACAGCCTTGAGACCAGAGGAGCTCGATGGTGCCAGGCTATCACTAACCCCTGCTCTCTAAAGGATTCTATTAGAATGTCCTAGATCAAATGGGAGGAAGGTGTGTAACTGAATTCAAAATCATATACAAGACCAAGCAGACTGTCTGATAGAGACTAGTAGACCCCTAAGAATGTGGCCCTGAGTCACCGTTGAGGTCTGAAACGAAACTCGCCCCGGTGTTAAAATAACCAGCCCTTGTGCTGTAGTGGTTATGAGATTAGCTGCAATGTGCAGGGTCCACAGCTCAAAACTACCAACTACTCCAAAGGAGAAAGACAGGGCTTTCTACCCCTGCAAACAATGATAGTCTCCAGTACTCATGGGGCAGTGCTACCCTGTCCTATGGGGCTGCCATGAGACAGCATGGACTTGATAGCAGTGAGCTTATCCTCAAAAGACAGCACTTGCACAAGGACAGGAAGGCTGAGGTTTAGAAAAGAAAAAGGTGTGGTGATTAATGAGTGATAGATTTAAATATTGGGAAAAATGCCTGACATGCACTAACAATTCATTACATTGTAAGAAAGCATTACAAGTATTGTTCAACCAGTTGTTGCCGGTTCATTCCTCGTCATCCACAGTAAATGGCTTTCTTGGTTCATCGGGATACGGTATCACACATACATCACATCACCCTGTACACTTGCTGCCATGGAGTCAATTCTGACTCAAAGCCATAGTGCAGGACAGCCGAGAACTGCCCCTTTGATTTGTCACTACTGCAATTCTTGATGGGACTAGAGGAGGTGGTTGTATTAGATTATCTTTAAACATTTTCTCCATTTAGGATTTTAGACATTGTTTTATAAATGATAAATTCTGCCTTTCGGGCTAGATTATTTGTTTCTCAATGTCCAGGATCTATGTTTGTTTGTTTCCTTCTCAAAATGATTCACCCAGGGCTGGGCAGACAACATGTATACATCAAGTAGATATTAGAGAGCCTCTTAATTACTGAGATTCAAGTATGAGACCTGAAGCTAACAGGTCGAAGGTTACAGCTCTTATAATAACTTACTGAAAGCGATTTCTATCTTGGTCATAAAACATCTACTATTAAGATTATCATGATGGTAACAACATAATTTATTGCACATGTAGGATGTTCTAGGCATTGTGTTAAATGCTTTATATAAATTGTGCCATTTAATTGTCTGACACATCTAGGGGTTAAGTATTCCTAGCCCCATTTACAAAGGATATAAAATGAGGAATTTCATTGCCGATGTCAGATCTTGGCTAGAAGCAGAGGCTACCAGAATGAGGTTTATTTGTGGTTTATTAACTGTACAAAGGCATTTAACTGTGTAGATCATAACAAACCATGGGCAGCATTACAATGAATGGCAATTCCAGAAGACTTCACCGTGCTCCTTCAGAACCTGTGCATGGACTGGAGGCAGTAATATGAACAGAGAAAAAACATATGCATGGTTTAAAATCAAGAAAGGCATGCATTAAAGTTGTATCCTTTCACCATCCTTACCCAATCTGTATGCTGAACAAATAATCTAAGAAGCTGAATTATGTGAAGAAGAAAATGGCACAGAATTCGAGGAAGGCCCATTAACAGCCTGCAATATGCAGAAGACAATCTTGTCTGCTGAAATCAAGAAGGACTTGACAACCAGGGTGCAGTATAGCACCGATGAAACACACAATGTTCCTCTGGTTCCTTGAGGCTTCCTCACCCTCACTGTCATGACCGCAGTCCTGCCTTTCACTGTGGGCTAGACTGAAGCATGTGCACAGGAACAGATGAGAGATAAAAGCTCATGACACATGGAATCCAGGAACAGGAATGAGAGTAGCAATACCAGGAGGGTAAAGAGGAGGTTGGGAGAGGAGGAGAGGAAGAGGGAACTGACCACAATGATTGACACATGACCCCCATATCCCAACCACCCCCAGAGCATGCCTCTCTTGTCCCACTCACTTTTCTCACCTGACCTCATTCTGTGCGACTTCTTTTTGTTTCTGCAAATGTAGAGGGACACGGAAGGACAATAATTTGATGACATAGAGGCGAAGAAAAAAGCGAGGGAGGTGCTGTCAGTCATCCAGACAGAGGAGTTCAAAAAATGTTTCCAAGAATGGAATACAGATTTGACCAATGTATTACGTGTAATGGAGAATAGTTTGAAGGTGATAAGGTTATTTTGTAAAAAAAAAAAAAAAAATTTAAATAAATAGCTTTAGCGGGGGAAATCCACTTTGGGGGGGGGTACCCCCTTGTATACCAATTTAAAATGTGGTGAAACCATGTAGATAGAAATAACCCCAACTCTTGAATAAAAAGACAGCAGAGTCAGAAAAAAGACCACCATTTCTACTTTAAGAAAAATAAAAATGATGTGAGAGTTTTGGTGTTTTATTTCAGACTATTCCTGCACATGGTAGATTTTTACAGAAGTTACACACTGAATTTAGCACTGCGTGCCCTTAGATTTAATGACTCTGCTTCTCTTGTCCACTAATCCGTTCTAGAAGGAGCATCAAGATGCAATGCAGTCAAGTTCTGAATCCATTTTTCCCATAGGAAATAACTGAAAAGAGATTAATCAGTTCTCAACCAACAAGTTTCTACCCTAACCTTGCCTTTTTATACAAAACATTACACAGAAATTTCAAAGTAAACAAGTTCAGAGTTAAGTGGTATAATTTAAATAAGAAACACAGCATTAAAAAAGTTTTTAACAACTACAGTATGGCGCATACCTTGACACCGATGAGGATCTAGATCTGTGGACACAGATGTGGAGAGGCAGGATGGAGAGAGAGGCATTGTTTGGAAGAGAGAGAGGCATTGTTTGGAAGGGGAATCCCCTTCCA